CCCCAAAACCCCAAAACCCCAAAACCCCAATAAGGATTGATTTTATTGAAAATTTTGATTTTAGAATAGGAATTAGACTAATTTAAGATATTCTGAGGGTATAGTTTACCATTTTAAGGTATTTTTGGGGTTTCAGCTTCTGAGATCTTGTTTCAAAGTTAAATTTGAGGCAGATAAGTCTTCTGTAGGTTGGCTATGGATATCAAAGGGGGACTCTATTGGGGTGTCTATCGAAATTTTTAAAGCTTCTTCTATAAGCTTTCTGGGGTTAGAATCAATTTTTGATGAATTTGGTGTTTTTGCATTATGTTTCCAAATATCTTTGACTTTTTTGAAAAATGGATGCACTTTATCTTTCTTCTCTTCTTCATGTATCTTCTTTTCATCGATGTAATTATTCTCCATGCTTCTTATATCACTCTCAGAACTATTCCCTATCTCATATCTGATCTCTCCAAATAGTGGGTCATCAAAGATGATTTCCTTTGCTTGTTTTTTTGGTTTTTCTTTCTTTGTCTCTTTCTTCATATTATTCTCTGCAATGTTCTTGAACAAGGCTTCCAAGGGTTTTTCCTTATCGACATCTATTGCTTCTTGGCTTCATTGAGGACTTTTTTCTACAAAGATGTCATCAACATTGATATCCCTGAGATATTTCCCAATGAAGACTTTATCCTTATACTCTTTCTTGACCTTTTGGACAAATTTGAGATGATTACGCTCTTCTTTAGTCTTCTCAACCTTGACTGCTCCATCGAAATAACTGACTTCTCGTTCTGCCTTAGACTTCTTCATTCTTTCATAGTACTCTTCCTCTCTTTGGTCTTCTTTTTGTTGCTTGGTTTCCATTTTGAGTGGCTGGAAGTCCCCTTCGAGTTCGTCCTTGAACTCCTCATCTATTTCATTACTCTGTTGGTTATAGACATATGGGTCGTATTTTACCCTTACTTCTCCTGTTCTGTGCATCTTTTGACGCCTGATGTTTGGTCTCCAGAGTTTCTCCAATGCATCTTCTTCGATAGGCTTGTCTTTTGGGATTTCATTCTTTGCTTCTCCGATGAGGAAGTTTTGGAGTTGCATTTGTCAGTTTCTCTCATTTTCCCGTTCTCTTACAATTTCACGCTGTTTCTTGACAATTTCGTACTTATAAGTCCTAGCTTTAGGGTCGTTCCTGGGTCTGCCTTTATCTTCAAATTTCCAGGCTTCAAGTTTTGGAGGTGGAAGTTCATTCTTTGCAGAAGTATGATCCTTAAAGAAGTAATCATGGTCTCCTTCGTCCTTCTTGAGTTCTCCAGTTTTTAAGTCTTTGTAAAGTTTCTTATTCTTGCTCCAGATTCTTTGATCCCCAAGGCCTTTTCGCATCAATGCTTTGATTTCCTGTTCTCGCTTGTAGTCTTCCCATTTCTTGTGCTTCAGGAACTTTAGGTCTATTCCGAGGTGTCTAATTGGCTCTATTGGCCAACACTCGAGAAGAATCTTGTTTCAGTATCTAATAATATCTTCAGCTGCATAGAAGTATTTTGACACGGTGATTGATCTATGTTAAGTTAGATTTATAATACTTACTTTTGGATAACATCAAAGTTTCATGTTTTAAAACTGATTGTGAGGGATCTACCTTTGAAGCCTGCAGACCTAGCTCTGTGCTCAAGTTCTTCTGCTTGCTCTTTGATTTTTTCCTTAAATTGATCGAATCTGGATATTGGCTTGAAAGAGTTAGAGACTGACAAACTTTTCTGAAGAAGGTCTCTTGGATCTTCATGTACGTTTCGGGATATTCCTAAGCATGCTCTTACTAAAAATTCAAAAGTATGCTCAGTAAATGTAATGAATATCTCAGTTGCTCTTTCTATCACTTGTGATCAATAAAATATTCCAAGATTGTTAAGGATTTGCTCTATCACCTTTCCTATTCCTGGAACTTTTCTAATGGGTAAGTCCTTCATAAATGCAAGAACTCTCTCAAGCTTGTAGTCAATATAAGTGCATCCGTCTGGTTTCTCAAAATCTGAAAGAATCTATAAAGAGTTAATACTAAATTTCTTACCTTTGCCATCATTTTATTACAAGAGATTCCTACTGAACAAGTGATCTCAAGTCTCTCAAAAATTGTCTTTCTAATTCTCTGTGCAAGCCAGAGTCTTCCCATTGCATGGTTGAGGTTGTTCTTCATTAAGAACTCAGTTACATCAATGTTGGCTTCATCAAGCCCGCATGACTCTAAGTCTGGGTCATACTCTCTTAGGATAGTCTTCATTTCGTCAGAGATTTCTTGATATCGGACATAATTTGGTCTGACAATGGTGAGTTTGTCACAAAGCTTTTTTGCAATAAAGGTAGGCATTCCTGATCTGACTCCACTTTGTCTAGCAATATAGTTAGTAGTCTGGATGATACCTCTTTCTCCAACAGCAAGAGGAACTTCTCCAAATGCGGGATTATCTTTGATCTCTACTGCAGCATAGAACATGTCCATATCAACATGGACCCAAGTCCTCTTGAATGATCTCTCGTTTTTGAACCACATCAAGCGTCTTTGGACATCATGATAGGTCTTTGTCCATAAGACTGTGTTTGCTCTGAACTGCTTGATTCTGTACTTAAACCTCTTGATCTTATTCTTAATAGCCCTTAGTCTGTATTGTTGGTTCTTGTAATAAGCTGAGCCTTTAGACGCTTCTGTGATCACTTTGTTGACATGCTCCTTGTCTACTTTATCAAGACCTGCTTTATGAGCAGAGAAATTATAACTAAGGTGATTAATACCAGTTTTATCTTGAATTACTCTCATTTGTTCTAATCCGCCTGTTGTTTTATGGCCTGCATTATATTCTTCCTCATCATCTGAATCAATATCAACATCCATATTCTCCAAATCTTCAGTATCAATAGAATAATTAGACAGCTTCTCCAGCTCCTCATCATTCTGTACATCACCTTCATCCACTGGAATCTCATTATCCTGCCTCATCTCAAACTCCATCCCTTCTTTCTCCTTACCCACCTCTCTCCCTTCCCCACATACCTCCCTCCGCTCCTGCATCTTCCCTTGACTCTGACTCTGCGCCTGACTCTGCGCCTGACTCTGCGCCTGACTCTGTGTCTGACTCTGCCCTCCAATCTCCCCAAACCCAAGCACCCCCAACTTCTTATCAAACTCAAAATCCACCTTCTCCTTCGGCAGCCCATAAATATCCACTCCAGTCGCTCCTCCCTCCTCTTCCACTATCCCTTTCGCCTTCTTCCTCATACCTTCATATTTCCACCCACTAAAATCCCCATCATCAATCACGACCAGCTCCTGTTCCTCCATGACGCCTTCATCGTTAACAAACCTGACCTTCTTCGGAAGGTCAGGTTTGACCTTCCGGGAAGGAGCCACTTTGGTAAAGGGGATGGCCTTGGTCAGGGAGGAAGGGGGGTTTTGGAAAATTGATGTCATTGTGGAGGGAGAGAGGGGTTTTGGGGTTTTGGGGTTTTGGGG